TGCTCAATGGGACAATGGTATATGGTCCCAAGAAATGTCTATAGCAGGCCAAAGAAGGGACAAGAATTGTGTAAGAATTAGGCGATATCATATTACAAAATGATGAATCATGTTAAAGTAACTGAAAAATTATGAAAATACTCTATTAAGGAAAAGAGAATGTAGTGAGTGGAGTGGTAGAATGAACTTGGAGCTAGAAGTCAGAAAGCCAGGGTTCAAGTTTCAGCTATGCGCCTAAATCACTGACTTGGGAAAAAAAGTTTTGAGATATTATGGTGCAATGGAAAGAGTACTAGATTGGGAATCACAAGACCTGGATTCAACTCCTCATGCTCTCTTTACTATCTGTGTGATGTCAGGTAACATCTTTGAGACTCATCTGTAAAATTCAGGTACTGAACTAGATGACTTCTAAGTTCCCTTCCAGCTTGAAATCTATAATCCTATTATCCCCTTAAGTTTCTGTTAATCAATTTTCTATCCTTCTAAAAGCTAAAGAGCCCCAATCCCAGAACTAGAGCACGTGACATCCTCAATCTCCACCCACTCCTCCAAAAGATGACAGTCTCAGTCTAGAGTTGAGGCTCAGGACCCTTATTATCCCCACTAAAGCTCAGAAACTTTCATCCATGTCTCATCCCCTTCCCTCAATTTCCTCAATTCAACATTTAATAAGCACTCACCATGTATCAGGCGATGTGCTAGGAGCTAGGTTTCCTCATCTGTAAAATCAGTAAGTTGGACCAGATGTTCTCTGAGTTCCTGCTCTTGTTCTATGATCCTAAGTTAAGTGATGATACAAAGAAAGAATATGACCCTATTCTCAAGGAGCTTGTAATCTAAAGACAACAAAGTCACATTAAAATATCAGGGGGAATGAGGTAAATGCAAAGGAGACTTTCAGGGAAATCTCTATGAAAAAGGAGATCACTTTCAGCTTGAGTGGGAGTTGTATGGGAAGGATTCGTAAGGAGATAACAGCTGAGATGGGCCTTGGAGGAAGGGAGGGATTTCAAAAAACAGAAATGGAGTACAACCCAAGGTATGAGATAGGAAAAAGCCGTATGTGAACAAGGAATGGAGAGTAGTTGGTTTGGCTGGAATGTCGGGTTCCTGAAGATTAGTCGTTTGAGATACACCTGGAAAGGTGGCTTGGAGCCAGATTGTGGAGGGCCTTGAATATCAGGATCTGGACTTTATACTTTATTTGGTAGGATATGTGAAGTGCAATAAAAGTTGTTAATAGTGGAGTAATGTGACCAAAATAATTCATTAGAAAAACTACTCAGGCTGTAGTGTGAAGGAGTTGGGAGAAGGGAGAGCCTAGAGGCAAGGCCAGTTAATGAAGGCAAAAGGTGCTGATGGCCTGAATTAGAGTGGTTGCAGCAGGAGGGGACAGAAAGGGGCACGCATGAAAGAAATAGGTTTTGTACCCAGATTCAACTCTCTTATTTTAAACATTTACTAAATTAATAGGAGGAAGAGAGCAAGTTGGATTGTCTTTGGGCTTACTGATGGAAAGAATTCTGGGAAGTTCCTTCCATTTTTGACATTCTGTTTTCTTATAAGGAGCTGAGTTCAAATTTAGTATGGTCCAGTGCAAAGAACATTGAATTTGGAGTTATTGGACTTGGGTTCAAATCTCAGCTCTCTCGAAGACCCTAGCCAGATCACTTAACCTTCCATGGACCTCAGTTTCCTCATCTGAAAATTGTGGGGAGTTGGACCAGACAACATCTAAGGTTTCTTACGGCTCTAGAGGCATGATGCTATGCCAAAGTGAAATGACTTGTGGAAGGTCACAGGAGTTGGTGATGAAGCTGGGACTTATCTCAGGTTTTATGACCCCAGGCCAGCACTCTTTTGCATCTCTAGATAATCTTTAATGTTCCCTCTAGCTCTGAGATGCTGTAAATCTAAGTTTAACCCCTGATCTCCATTAAAAAGGCAACGAATCTTTTCTCAGACATTCTCTCCCAACCCCAACACGTTATATAAGAATAGTGGGTAGACCTAGTTATCAAATGCTTGGCAGAATGATTAAGTAGTTATTTTATTTTATGGAGAAAACTACATACTCATGCCTAGGCCCTCCATACCCCTCCTCCCCTCCTGGAAGTGTTTCAGAGGAACATCATTGTGCCTGGAGCTGAAGATTTTGTCTTGTTCCTCCTCGAATGTTTGATTAACTGGCCACATCTCTTGAGGGTTGCTGCCCGCGGTGTTCGTAAGTGGCATGTGTATTGTTTACTTGTATTTCTGTGAAAAGCGACAAAGCTAATCACAGCAGGCTTCTCTGGCTTCCACTCCAGCCAATCACAACTTTACCTTAACAGATGGCTTGGTTTACTGAGGCCTGTTCCCGCCACTGTTTCCATAGGCGGAATGCCAGCACAGGCAAGGCTGTGGAACTGGATGTCCTAATCCTTCCAACAGCATTAGGGATTGAAGGAGATCCTGAGGACAGACTAGAATACATTAATGCAGCAGCGATTGATTGAGCCTCAACTCACAGCCTTACAAGCACAAGGATGTCAACATAAAGCCCTTTGCATGTGGGCTTCCTTCCCTGGACTCTATCCATGCCACCTCAACAGAACCCACTAAGGAAATGGAGAAGGAGAAGATTCATTTTTTCTTTTATTAAGCTTAATTGGCGAATGCAGCACAGAGAGGCTTGTGATTAATTAGCATCCTGATTAATATGCAGCTGCCTTGGTATTAAGAAAAATTAAATATAAAAGAATAGATCCCCATGGGAGAGGCTAGTAAAATAAACATGATTTCTGGGAACATCTGATTTGGTCTTTTGTGTTATGGACAAATTTGAATGCACTGAAACAATCCAATCTTCTTCCATTTGCTTTGAGTCAAAGAAAAGATTCCATCATGAGATATCTTTCCTCATATAGGAGTGGCTTTTGACTATGAGCAGTTTGATCAGGATTTATATTGGTAACTCAGGGGGAAAGCAACAAATCTCATTTTCTTTCACTTCAAGGTCTAAGACAGAAGAGAAAGGGCAGAGGAGTAGGGTGAGGATAGGAAATAGGGGTAAAAGCCCTAGAACCTGAAGGGATTCCTTTAATTCCTTCCCCACCCCCAGATTTGTGCCCAGTGTCACTGTCACATAATGACAGAATTAGAAGAGTCTTAGAAATCTACATCAGTTCCTTCAGCTATAAGGTGAGGAAATTGAGGTCTTGAACAGGCAAATGAATCATTCAAGGTCACATAGTGGCAGGGAAAATTTAAACCTGGGTCTCCAGAATTCTAGCTGCCTGCTCTTTCCACCACACCACGCAGGCTTCCCTCTCTTCAGATATACCCCCATCTAGCCCCCCTTAAACAGGCATTCTGCTCTTTCCCTTCTGTCATCCAGGCATAGATTTTCTAGCTCTTCACTGTCAGTCTCCAATGCAGACAGCCACACTGAAACCTCGGATGGGAAGACATCAAGTTTCTTTGCAGCTCTGGATGCCAGCATCGAAACTTTACAAAAAAGGGCCCAGCAGCTGATTGACAGCATCAATGAAAGCAGGCAGAAGGACCACACGCTCATGAGCAACTTCAGAGACAGCCTCAAGATGAAGGTAGAAAGTAATAACTAGCCAGAAGTGTCAGACTTTTGAGAAACTGCTTGGATGATAGTAAAAGCACAAGTTTGCTGGGCGGGGCCAGTTGCTACAGAGTTTTCTTTAAGGTGTTCTGGTGTTCTTTCCCACAGGCCAAAACCAGAATCATTCTCTCTCCAAAGAACTGGTGGTAACATTCAGACCCAGGTTTCTTATTCCTACTATTTGAACTTCAGCAGCAGTAGCTCCCACCTTCCAGGCTAAACATCATTGTGAGCTTGAGTAAAACCCAGAGAAGTCTGACCATTTAGAGAATGCTCATTCTTTGTTTTAGGGCTCATCCTTTTTGAAAATTTAGATAAAAAGTAGCTTGTATTTTTTCTACTCCATTATCTTGAGAGAGCAGCTTTTTACTGTCTCTAAGAGAAAAGTGTTGCAGAAACACACTGAAAGGGCCTGTTTAGAATAAACATTTCATTTCTATTCCTGTTTAATTCCTAAAGATTATTTAACTTTTGCCTTCAAAGGTGTCAGATTTGGTTGAGAAGTTGGAAGAAAGGATGTATCAGATTTATGATCATCACAACAAGCTTATTCAGGAGAAGCTACAAGAGTTCTCAGAGAAGATAGAGAAGATCAATAATTTAGAAGTCGAGCTCAAACAAGTCTGCCACACTGTGGAAACTGTGTACAAAGACCTGTGTGTGCAGCCTGAAATATGACAATGTCCCAGGAAAAGAAGACCACCTGAAAAAGGAGTTGTAAGGCAGTGAGCATAAGAACAAAGCTAAGATGAAATTAAACATTGCACATATTACAATAAACACTCTTCATCTGTGCTGTTTCACGTGATATGATTTGCTCTTTAAACAGCTTATACCAGAAAGTACAAAATTGAATGGTTGTTAAAACTCACATAAACAAGTAGGTTGAGGGGCAGCTAGGTGGTGCAGTGGATAGAGCTCTGGCCTTGGAGTCAGGAGAACCTGAGTTCAAATCCGTCCTCAGACACTTAACCCTAGCTGTGTGACCCTGGGCAAGTCACTTAACCCCGATTGCTTCACCAAAACAAACAAGTAGGTTCAACTCTCATTTGCAAGGATATTCGGGTAAATTGTGAACTGTGAACATTTGCTAGTCACCACAATGTCCTCCTCCTAGCATCCCTGTCCCATTTGACCCTCCACCTTTCAAACACTGGGACAGATCAGGCTTGAGAAACTTCAGTAATTTATATTCTTATTTTTAAAAACTTCCACAAATTGTCAAATGAACAAGACATAGACCACAGCTAGGGTGTCCTGGGAGAAACATGGGTACTAGTTAATATTGTGAGCTGTCTTACAAAGTGACCCCCAATATTCCTATTTCTCTAGCAACTCTACTTCCTTACCTCTTCCTCAGAAAAAAAAGGCATAGACATACTTTTGGTCAGCAGCATGTCATCTTTATTGTTTGGACAAGTAGACTTGTTCCTAGTCTGCTCCCAAGTCCAGAACACTGAATGATACCCCTGGAAATCAATGGGTGATCAGCAGGGTCAGGAGGCATTAGTAAGCCGGGAAGCATTATGGGTTTGGGTGAGAGATCTTAGTTATTCAGTTACAAATCAAGCAGCTTCATAGAAGCTACTTTGAAATTCATTTTTCTTCCTCTTGCCCTCTGATTAAAAAAAAAAACCAATCCACTTATCTCCCAAGTTATATAAAATTAATAATAGTTGGTGGGTTGAAAGGGACTGCTATTGCTTGTACAATCACATTCTTTCGGCATTTCAACAGAACTGATTTTAAAACAAGGCACATTCAGGTATAGAAATCAATTTCTTCAATCTCATTCTCCACCTTCCAGAAAGGAAAGCAACAGCCACTTCCCCAGAAAAGCAGACTTAATACAACCTGGGGAATCAATACAGACACAATGAAATGACGACTCTTTCTGAAGGATGTTTGTCAACCCTTAAGTAAAACAGGTTCACTTCCCAGCCCTGAATGCCTGAATTCCTGTGATAGCTCTCCCGAGGACCAGGGCATGGATGTCGTGAGTACCTAAAGAAAAGAGAATTGAGAGAAAGAGATTATTTTTAGCTGACCTTAGAGTGGACACAGAGCCCTCTTTTGCCAGTTTTGTTATTCTGATATTCACCAGCATCTCTGATGCCTTGCTGCAAAGGCTCCAACTCACATGGTGGGAGGAGAAGCTGTAGTTAATACCCCCTGCCCAGTAAGACTAGAAGTCAGCCTACCTTTGATCACTTGGGCATAGGTGCCAGTGGAAAGCAGAGAGGCTCATAACATCTAAACACAGCCCCTGACTTTTGTAGAGCTTTTCAAACCATTTGATGGGTAAACTCACTTGCTTCTGGTAGGCTTGCATGCACATCACATCTGGTGTCCTATTAAGCCTTACCTGGATGCCTTAACCTTAGTGAACTAGCCTCAGGCAGCACATGAACCCAGACAACAACCACACCTTCCTGCCCTGACAGGCCCAAGGCCAGAAGAGTTGGCTTTTCTACCATAAAAGTCCTGGGCCTGAAGAAATTAAAGCTATCTATAGTCATTTGACAAAAATGCTCTAAATCACTATTGGCTAGAGAAATGCAAATTAAAACAACTCTGAGCTATCACCTCACACCTATCAGATTGGCTAATATGACAGAAAGGGAAAATGATAAATGTGGGAAAATTGGGTCACTAAGGCATTGTTGGGTGGAGTTGTGAACTGATCCAACCATTCTGGAGAGCAATTTGGAACTATGCCCAAAGGGCAATCAAACTGTGCATACCCTTTGATCCAGCAATATCACTACTAAGTCTGTATCTCAAAGAGATCATAAAAAAGGGGAAAGGACCTACATGTACAAAAATATTTATAGCAATTCTTTTTGTGGTGACAAAGAATTGGAAATTGAGGGGATGCTCATCAGTTGGGATATGGCTGAACAAGTTGTGGTATATGAATGCAATGGAATACTATTGTGCTATAAGAAATGACGAGCAGGCAGACTTCAGAAAAACCTGGAAAGACTGACATGAACTGATACAGAGTGAAGTGAGCAGAACCAGGAGCTCATTGTACACAGTAACAGCAACACTGTTCGATGATCAACTATGACAGACTTAATTCTTCGCAGCAATACAATGATCTAAGACAATTCCAAAAGACTCATGATGGAAAATGCTATCCACATCCAGAGAAAGAACTATGGAGTCTGAATGCAGATTGAAGCATTTCACTTTTTTGGGGGGTTTGTTTGTTTTGTGTCTTTTCCCTCGTTTTGTTTCTTCTGTTACAACATGAATAATGTAGAAATATATTTATATGATTGCACACATATAACCTATATCAGATTGCTTGCCATCTTGGGGAGGGGGATAGGAGAAAGGGAGAAAAATTCTGGAACTCAAAATCTTATAAAAAAAATGAATGTTGAAAACTAGCTTTCCATGTAATTGGAAAAAATAAAACACTGTTTAAAAAAAGTGCTGGAGCTTATTCCTAATAGCAATAAGGAAAAGGAAACACTACATATTACACCTGGGCTTCTCCTCAATTAAGCTCCCCAAGTTAAAGCTTGGGGATTCTAGTGATTTGGATCTTGTCCCAGGTATGCCCATGAATCACTGTAACTTTAGGTAACTCATTTCCCCCTTTTGGGCTTCATCTTCCCTTTCTGTAAAATGGGAAGGTTGGACCAGATGATCTCAAAGGCCCCTTCCAGCTCTAGAATTCTGTAAAAAAGCCTTATGGGATACCAGCCCATGGGAAATAGACCAGAGGGGACAATTATGAAAAGTTCAGTTTTAAAATATTCCACTCATATCCTAAACATCCCATTGTCCAATTCAATAAACATTTATCAAATGCTTACTACGTGCAAGGCACTGTGCTAGGCATTCAGGATATGAAAACCAAAAAAGAAATATTCCAAGACCTCAAAGAGCCTGTACTCTATCGTGTATGTGGACACAAAGGTATGATCCCAAAATAAATGTAAAGTATTTCAAAGGAATTTTTAGAAAGAGTATTAATAACTTGAAGGAGAAGCATCAAGAGACTCATGGAGGAGGCAGCACCTGACATGTTCTTTGAAGGAATGAATCTAGGAATTCTGAGAGACAGAGGTGAGAGGTAGCGAGTGGTAGAGATTGGAGACCACCTATGAAGTCACAGAGGCTGGAGATGGAATGTCATGTACAAGCACTACCCAATGATAACAGTACAAGACCTATACATCAGAGATGTCAAAGAAATAGGAAAAATACACAAAAGTAGAAAAATATAGCAGCTCTTTTTGTCAAAGCAAAGAACTGGAAACAAAGGGGGAGGATATATCAATTAGGAATGGCTATGTTATCGTTGTTCAGTCATTTAAGTCCTGTCCGACTCCTTTTTGGAGTCAGACTCCCATTTGGGGTTTTCTTGGTAAAGGTAGTAGAGTGGTTTGCTATTTCCTTCTCCAGCATTTTAGAGATGAGGAAACCGAGGCAAACAGGGTTAAGTGACTTGGTCAGGGTCATATAACTAATAAGTGTTTGAGGCCAGATCTTACTCCAGGCCCAGCGTTCAATCCACTGTGCCACCTAACTGCCCCACGTATAAATATGACAGAACATTATTATGCCTTTAGAAATAATGAAAGGAACAATTTCAGAAAAACCTGAAAAGACTTGCATGAACTGATGCAGAGTAAAGGAATCAAGGTACAGAATGAAACACACATTTTTGGACATAGCATATGTGGATTTGTTTTTCTCAACAATGCTTATTTGCTACATGGATTGAGTTTTTCTTTTTTTGGGGGGGGGAGATTTGAAGGGGAGAGGGGAACTAATGATAGGATCAAAAAAAAAGAAGAAAAGAAAGGGTCATTGAAGAATTTTTTAAAATGCACAGATGAGAACAGAAAGAAGTTGAGAAGTTAATGCAAACAAGCAGGACGGTTTTGAAAGCTGACAAATTTAATTTATCATACACTTAAAAAAAAAAAACACCATGATTGCAAACCTGGGTGACTAAGATGGTGGTGCACTAAATAGAATGAGAGAAGTTTGGAGGAAGGGATTTTGAGGGGAAAGGAATGAATTCTACTTTGGAATCTGAGATGCCTTTGGTACATCCAGATGGCATTTAGTGATACAGTTCAGGAAAGAGACTAGGGCCAGATATCTATCAATAGACAGATCTATAGATGAAGACATTAATAATAATAGCTGACATTTATACATCACTTTACAATTACTTTTTTTCTTTTTTTGCGAGGCATTTAGGGTTAAGTGACTTGCCCAGAGTCACACAGCTAGTGAGTATCATGTGTCTGAGGCTGAATTTGAACTCAGGTCCTCCTGACTCCAGGCCCAGTACTCTATCCACTGTGCCATCTAGCTGCCCCTACAATTACAAAGTGCTTGCTGGATAATATCTTATTTGATCCTCACAATAACCCTAATCAAGTGTAAGGATGATCACAATGATTTTACAGATCAAAGGATGACAGTGACTTGCCCAAGGTCTGAAGCAGAGCTAAGACTGGAATCTATGTCTCTTTCCCTTGCCACTTCACTGACATATCTAGAGTGGCTCTGCACATCCTCACCTTCATAAGTGTTTACAGCTTCCAGGTTCATGACGTGCCGGATCACATGATACTCATCACAAATCCCATTCCCACCAAGCATGTCACGGGCCTGTCTGGCAATATCAAGGGCTTTGCCACAACTATTCCTCTTCAGCAATGAAATCATTTCCGGGGTCACTCTAGAAGACACAGACACACACCCCCCAGATATTGATTAGATTGGTGGAGAAACTCTGACACCTTCCATGGCTTCCCACAATCTCCTGAATTAAATACAAACTTTGCCCTGACTCTCATCTCCACCTGTTAAAATCTTATCCATCCTTTGATATCAGGGGCTGCCTCTTTCATGAAGCCTTCTTTTCCCTCCCCAGCTAGAAGTGATTTCCTCCTTCACTGAATCCCCACAGTGGTGCCTCTCCTATGGTTACGTTCATGTCATGTTTCACATTACAATGATTTGGGCTACTCCCCGCTCAGCTGCCTCAAGCCAGAATCAGTGCTAAGCATGGGGCCTTGGACAACAAGTTCTCTGGGAATACCTGGTGAATTGAATTCCTCATACAGAAAATGAGGGGATTAGACCCAGTGATTTCTAAGGTCTCTTTTAGTTCTAAAGCCTGTGATCCTAGGAAATGAGTTGTTTGTGCACAGGTGTCCTTCATGTTAAGCAAATTCAATTTCAGAAAATTTGAATTTATATAAATGATAATTTGGAGCAAGATTTAAAAAAAAAATTCTTTTCATTACATAATAATTTGCCATCAAGATCTTATGAAAAACTGACCACAGGGGTTCGTTACCCTTGGGGCAAGTCACTAACACACAAAGCATGTCCATATTTCCTCGATGCATTTTTATGAAGCTCACCTAGAAATCTAGTTGAAAACACACTACCCTCTTGGAGCCTCTAGCTGTGGGCTTGAGTACGTCATCTTATATGACCTTTCCTGATCCTCCTGAGGTATGAATGCTCTCTTCCTCTTGAAATTACTCTGTATTACCTTACAGATACTTTGTATTTGCCAGTGAACATGAGGAAAACTTTGGGGACAGCAACTATTTCATTTTTGTCTTTTTACCTCCAGTGTCTTGCACAGGCTTAAAAACTGTTTCTTGAATTGAACTGAAGGAAGAGAAGAGGGGATATCCTAGGAGGGCAATATGGAGTTGAACGGAGGGATGTGTGGGTTGTTGCAAGGGCCAGGTGGGGCTTATGTACTGGCTGAATGTATATGAGTGCTTCATGAATATACTGGCATCACCTCTTCTCCCTCACCTACTGTGCTCCCTGAAGAGCTCTGCCTGGTGGATCTAGTTAGCCCTGGAGCAGCCAGCCTCTACCCAGACATCCCTTAATCCAGCCTTGGTCTGAGCCCCATACTTGTCCTGGTCTTTCAATCGCCCAAGCTGTAGGCATGCATGCAGGCCCAGGGTGATCTCTGTGAGCATATCAGCCAGTTTCTTCTGGATAAGCTGGTTTTTAGCCAATGGGAACCCAAACTGCTTCCTGGATATACAAAGGGGAGAAGAAGGAAAAACAGAACAATTATAGAGGGCAGAAAAGACCCCAGGTCTTGGACAGCTGGAAACAGGGGCTAAAGGAGTCATGGAAAACTTGGAGGCAAGATGATAGATACATCTCTGCAATATCTGACCTACTGTCCTTCTTCACTCCCACCCCCTCCAGCATTGGGCATGGTCTCCCCTCACTCCAGACTAGGCTCATTCATGCCACTCTAATGCCCTTCCGCTTCTTCCAAAACCAGATCCCACCCCCTCCAAGAAACTTGCCTTGATTAGACTATACTTTGGGGCCTACCTTAGGTAGCACCCAGGGTGAAGAAAGGAGGGGGAAGGGAGAAGAAAGGTCTGGGTTCTAGTTACCTGTCTAGGGTGTACTGCCGAGCTGTGTGCAGACAGAACTCTGCAGCACCCAGTGCCCCCCAAGCAATGCCAAATCGAGCTCTGTTCAGACACCCAAAGGGGCCCTGTGGAAAGAGGGAAGGGGCTGGGCAGGCTTACTGGGAGCATCCTTACCTAGGGAACTACTAGAAAGGACCTAAAAGATCATCTAAATGACTTGGCCAATGTCAAGCAGTAAGTGGAAGTGTCAGGATTTGAACTCAAACCCAGTGCTTTTTTTTTAATGACTCCTGCCAAACCCCTTGAATCTCTCTTGATTATCCTAGCTCCCATTTTCAGGGCCTGGGGATACTTGTTACCCCTAACCTCCCTCCCCCTCTCCCCCCTTTACACCTGGGTGTGTTCTGACCCTGGTGTCACTCACAGAAAGGCCAGACGCATTGGGCAGCAGGTTCTGTTCTGGCACTTCCACGTCATCCATGAGGACCATTCCTGTGACTGAGGTCCGAAGTGAAAACTTGCCTTTGATCCTGGGAGCTGACAACCCATGCATCCCTTTCTCTAACAGGAAGCCCCGAATCTTACCATCCTCACACACAGCCCAGATCACAAACAGGTCAGCCACAGGTGAATTAGTGATCCTAAGGGAAGATACAGGGAATAGCTTTGGAGAGACCACCTTCTCCAATAAGTTCTCCACCACCAAAGAGCCACCCACCCTGTTCTTCAAGCCTTTGTGGAATGATAAGGATTTGAAGCCAGAAGGGATCTGAGATCATTATCTTAGTAATACAACCCTCTCATTCTACAGCCACTGTCAATAAGCATATGAGCCAGGAGAGAGCCCCTGCCCTCACCCCCTTACCAGGTCTTGGAGCCGCTCAGGGTGTAGGTCTTGCTGGCTGCATTGTAGCGGGCCTTAGTCTCCATATTACCTGGGTCACTTCCATGATTGGGCTCTGATAACCCAAAGCAGCCCAGGATTTCCCCCTTTGCTGTCAACCAAACCCATAGTCAGAGCGAGGAATTTCTCCCCTTCCCCCCAGACCACGTCCCTGTAATTCCCACTCCACAGGCATCTCCATGGCTCTTGGAACTTGCAAAGCCCTAACAGGCACTAATGACATTCAATAACCCTGAGGGGCCTGGTGGTGGGAATAAGAATCAGTAGGGTTGATATCGAGGGGGATTAGTATGGAGGATGCTTAGGGGTCCCAGGAAGGGAGTCATTAGAGGGCAGACTTGGAAACTTGGGTCAAGTTTTAGGGTATATCACTGGCAAGTGGGTTAAGGATTCCCTGGTGGGTCAGCAGGCTCAGGAAAATTTGTCTGAAGTCCCAAACCAGATGGTGGGAAGGACATGAGATAGAGAGGAATCACAGGAAAATTAGTAGACTCAGGGAGGGAGGTCACAGGTCTCATAGACTCAAGGAATTGGTGGAACTGAGAGGGACCTTGGAAATCATCTAATTCAACCCCTTCATTCTGTAGATGGGAAAACTGAAGCCCTGAGAGATTAAGCGATTTGTCCAAAGTCAATTCGCCAGGAACAGAATCCAGATCAATTAACTCCAAAGTTAATGTTCTTTTCACTAGAGGAGGTTACTTTTTATCCAAAGGTCCCAGGGAAGGGAGTCTTAAGAAGGTCAGTTGGGAAGGGACTCGGGTCCTTGAAGAGGGGGTAGAATCAGAACCAGAGCTAGAAGAAACCTCCGAGGTCATCTAGACTCACCTAAACCTGAATAGGAAGCCTTCTATGATACACCCAACAAGGAGTCATCCAACCTTTGCCTGGAGACCTCTAGGAACCTCTAGAAAGACCAGCTATCTCCCTGAGCAGCCCACTGCACAGCACTGATTGTTAGGAAGTTTTTCCCGATATCAAATATAAAATTGCCTCTCATAGTCTTCCACCCTTCAACCCCAGTTCTGCCCTCTGGGGCAAATCAAAATGAATGTAATTCCTCTTTCATGTGACAGCCCTTAATATATCTGAAGACAGCTCTCCTTCCACCCTCTAAGTTTTCTTTTCTCCAGCAGACTTATGGCAAGGGAGGTAAGTGTCTCAAGGCTGGTCCATTGGGAATGGAGCACAAGGGTCCAAGGGAGAAGACAGCTCAGGAGTCCTGAATAGGTTAGAAAGCTCTAGGAAGGGGTTAGAGTCAGTCAATAGAGAAGAGGCTAAGGGGTCCTTGGAGGGTCAGTGGGCTCAGGAAGGTGGGCGAAGAATCCCATATTCCAAGTGTACTGCTCTCACCCAGTTGAGGCAGGAACCTCTGCCGCTGCTCTTCAGAGCCATAGGCATAGATGGGGTACATGACCAAGGAGGACTGGACGCTCATGGCTGACCGGTAGCCACTGTCTACACGCTCCAGTTCCCGGGCCAGAAGTCCATAGGCCACAGATGAGGTCCCAGCACAGCCATACCCTATGAGAACAGAAAAAACAACCTATTAGGCTGCGTCCAGAGACCCCAGGGACTTCTTGAGGAAAACAGTTACTCAGCCAGGTCATTCTATCACCAAGAGGCTGGTCCTTGGGGATGAATACCCTGTGGCTCAGACCCAATCCCCAGTCCCCCAACTTTTAAAGAGGCTGAAATCTACATTGTTCCCAGCAAATTTCACTGTTAGCTTTTGCTGTCCCAGCATGAGGGGAAGCAGGCTGTGGGCAAAGCAATCCCTGGTGCCTGGTAAAAGGAATAAATGAGGGTTAAATTGTAACATAGTATGGTTTTAGAGCAAAGTCACCTAAAATTCTTTTGCTCTGGCCAAGAATAGATGCATATACTTGAACCAAACCTAAGAGATTGTTCTGCCAATGATATGCCAACATTGTTGATGTACCTAAATCCTGAGAAACCACCCAATGAAGAAACTAGATTACAATTCTGAAAAAAATAAGTTTTGAGAAATAACTGTATCATGAACGAATTATTTTTAGATACCTATAAAAGTTACTACTTTGATACCTGTATTAAAAAAGAGCACTGTTTCAGATTCTTCTTCATAGTCCCTTGCAGACTGCCTAAATGCATATACTCTGGATGCTGCTATGTTTCTTTTACGGAACTCTCAGGAAAAAAGGCATCTGATCTGGTTACTACATGCCTTCAGTTTCAGGAGAGAGATGGGGGAAAGTGGCAGTTGCACTTTACGTTGGAAAAGAACCCTGAGTTAAAGAAATTGATTCTGTATTGTGGGCCCACTCCAATAATGATGTTGGCCTGATAAAAAGAGACCGGGTAGAGCATGTGTTTCAAAAAGGTCTCAATAAAATAAACCAATTATCATTAGTTACTATAAAAATAAGCCATGACCAAGCACTAAGAAATAGTTTTTGTCTAAAGCTCAAGTTGAAGGAATATAGCCAGTAATAGAAGATTTAGAGAAATAAGAAGTTATCAAAAATGGGTAGTCCCTATGTAATACTCCTACCTTACTGGTAAGAAAAGAAGAAAAATTAGATAAAGAGGGTCAGTCAGTATATCACTTTGTTCAAGACTGAAGAGCTATAAATAAGCATGTTATTTCTACAATTCCTATTGTTCCTAATCCCGCTATTATTATAATTTCTACACCTCTGACCGCATGGTTCTTTTCAGTAATTGATACAACACGTTCTGGTTTCTTTTCCATTCCATTAGATGAAGAACCTAAATTCTTGTTTGCACTTACTTATGGAGAATCTCAGTATGCATGGCAAAGAATTCCCCAAGGGTTCTGTGACTCCCCTACTATCTTTTCTAGAAACTCGCAGGAAAATTTAAAGTTGTTTATTTCACCAAAAGGTCATGCTTTTCAATATGTAGATGATTTATTGATAGCTTCTAAAACTGAAGAACAAAATAAGATTGAAACTCTTGCTTTGCTTAAGTTCTTAGCTCTACAAGGACATAAAGTGTCTTTGGACAAACTATGGTATTGCCTGACAGAGGTGAAATATATAGGACACTTTCTCTCTGCAAAAGAGAGGAAGGTATGGCCCTCCCAAAGTGAAACCAATTCCAAGAGTGAGGATTCCACCTAATGAAAATTGCTGCAACACTTTCTAAGTTTGGTATCCTACTACAGATGGTGGATTCCCATCTTTTCTGAAACTGTTAGGCTTTAATTCTGAAGCTGCATGATAATTCCTCTGATGCCTTAGAAGGGAAAGAAAAATCTGAACAGGCCCTTTTTTTAACCTTGAAAGGAGCTGCAGCACCCCCTCCAGTATTAGGTGGATCCAATTTTAGTAAACCTTTCCATTTATTTTACCATGAGAAGGATGGGGTGGCAAGGGGAGTCCACACTCAAAAACTGTCAACTCTTTAGGTCAAACTATTTATAAACAAACCCTACTGTCTTAAGAACAAGCAGGAAAAGAGTGGGAACTTTTTTCTGCTGAAAGTTTCAAACTTTTCAAAAGATATAATCTCACCTTTATTTCCCCAATACCAGTCAGGATGAGAATGCAAAGAGAAAAAAGAACTAAGAGGAAAGGCAATCCTTTCCCCTTTGCAGAAATTTACAGAAATGCAAAATTGTGAACTGAAAGGAAATGTATTTACTGCAGATTTCCAAGTTGTGGTTAAAGATTCTAGTGGGGTTTGGGGTTGCAGCCACTCAGTACTAAGGCACATGCAAACAACAGATCACTCTTTCTCTTCCCTTGAGATTGAAAGATTTATTGTTCTAGTGTAAGGAAAGAAGATGATTTCACCAGTTAGAGCATAAACAGAATTGAAACCAATTTAAAAGTTTTATCTCCAGTGAAGTCCAAAAGTGGAGAAAGAAAAAAACAAGCAGATTTTGCAGTTTTTAAGCCTTCTCTGGTGGTGATCTTTATACCACGATGTGTTTATTAAACTAGAAAAGAAAGATGTTGAGTGAACACTTTTGGAAAAACCAAGTATGTACTTAATAAGCACTGAAGATAAATGTTCTTCTTTATTGTTAACTAACTCATTGCCACATGAAAAACAACTGTACCTTGTTTTAAATTGTAAGCAGTGTTTTCTCAACAAAACAATGATTCAAGACAATTCCAAAAGATTTAGGACATAATGCTATCCACATCCAAACAAAGAACTATGGAGGCTGATTGCAGATCAAAGCACACTATTTTCACTTTTTTGTTTTTCATGGCTTTTTCCCTTTGTTTTGTTTCTTTTTTCACAACAAAACTAATGTGAAAATATGTTTCACATGATTGCACACGTACAACCTATATCAGATTGCTTGCCATCTTATGGAAGGGGGAAAGAAAGGAGAAAATTTGGAACTCAGAATCTTTTAAAAAATGAATGCTGAAAACTATTTTTACATGTAATTGGAAAAATAAAATACTTTTTACAAAAAACAAACAAACCTATAAGCAGTGGAACTTGCTATGTGAGGTGGAACAGTAAATTGATTTGCTCAGAGTTTTGATCTCAGATATAACTTGACAGATGTTAAGGCAGTACTCCACAGTTCAAGGGAAAATGCCAAGAACCACTCAAAGGAAATGCCAGATGGAAAATATTTTTTTAAAGTATCAAAGTAAACATACTGCATATATTTATAGGAAAATTTTCTTAATATATCCACCTGGAAAATATTACCAGTGCATATAGATGACTGGGAAGGTTGAGAAGAAAGCCTGATGAAGGTAACAGTAGGATCCTCTTGAAGCAGGTTTTCCACTGTATTTCCCTTCTGAACAGGAATATTTCCTACCTAGTTGATTCTGAGCCTGGTTATGACACCCGGTGAATAATGTGAAAATCTGGTGCAGGATTAGCTCTTCCAAAAGATATCTATGACTTTTACTTGAAATTAAGTAGACTTAAAGGAATTTTGTCCTAGTATACTAAGATAGGTTACTTTATGACTTTAGGCTTTGGCCTAAGGGAACAGTAATAATACTGTTAGAACCATGTCCTTCTTCTTTTCAGAATAAATTTCTACGAAAATGTCAAGAGAACTGCAAATTTTTTAATAGATTATAATGTTACAATCATTAAGCATCTCTGATCTCCTAAAATGGAATGCAAAAAACAAGACCTCATTGCTTTGATTTTACTGTCCTGAATTTTTGACAGCAATTGTTGACTTCAAAGTTCTCAGGTTTGCCATTTCTTTGCTCACTGACTTAAAAGTTATATGTTCATGTATAAGATTATGTCTGTATAGTATCATATCTTAACTGAATGATATGGGGAAAATGTATGTTCTCAAAAGGGGACAGGATAAAGCTATGATATGATAAAGTTATAAAGGTTTTAATTTTTAATGGATTAGTAAACTTTACTTCAGGAAAAGCAGCAAGATTAGATTGTTTCTACTTGAGAACTAAGATATATATGTTTCAAATGTTTTCCACTGGGTAAAAGTATATACTGAGAGGACTCATGACATCTGTAATTGTATCAGTAACCTTAGAAGTTCAGTTGCTGGGCAAGTGAAAAACAGTGGAAAAGGCCAAGTAAAGATGGTGGTCCTAAATGATTTATTTTAAACTTTATCCTGAAGGTAATAGGGAACTACTGAGTTTCTTTCACTTTCATTTGAATATCTACAGGTACCTATCCATACAAATGCCTAAATATACACAGCTTTGGATATGTTTTAGTAATTGCCTTTATTAACTGGAAAAGGAAAGGCAAACCACTCTATACTTATCGCCAAGAAAACTCCATATGTGGTCACAAAGAGTTGAATACGACTGAACAACAATTGTGTATATGGTCTCCAGATGGATTGAGACTGTTACACATAGAATTATTTTAATTAGTTGCCAAAATTTAAAAAAATTTTTTTTTACCTATTTGAGTGCTCTCTCTCTTTGTCTGTCTGTCTCTCTCTCTGTGTCTCTCTTTCTGTCTCTCAACATCAAGAGACAGATAGGCTTATTTTACAAAGACAGGTCTTCACAGATCCTTTCTAAGATTCTTCCTCTAGCCTTATCCATACCACATACAGGGTCCAGGTAAAGACAGAAAGAAAAAATGATATGTGAAGGCTGAAACTCTCCAAACTTTTAGATTAGTTACAAATAGCTAAATTCAATGTTCTCCCTATAGCTCTGATGTTTATTAGGTTAACTCCATAAGGTTTGAACTGGCTTTCACCACATGAACTAATTACTGAAAGGCCAATGTGACTGGATTTTGTAAAGCCCTACTAAATCATACCAAGTTTTATCACTAGTAGGTTTAAGCAGCATTAAGGCGGCTTGGAATTTGGAAAGTAAATGTGCTGGAAGAAACCCTTCTGCAAATCTGCCCTAAAAACAAGGCTCATTCCAGGTACTGTTAACAACCGACACCCCAGTTAAAGACACTGAATTTCTGATTAAGAGATATACTGACTGAGTTTGAATGGACCAAAATGAACAATTTGTGGACAGTGGTCTGGGACAGATTCTGCTGACATGGAATTTCCAAGGGAAAATGTTTCCTAGAAACAGATGATTTTATGATGTAGAGAGTTAAACCTAAAATGACAGAATAAGAAATCCAATGTTTAAATGGAATGTTGCGCACGTATTTACCCAAACTCTTAATATTGTCCACCATCTGAATTGCATTCTAGAGTTAGGGAAAGGAATGGGATATTTTAAGAGATATTCCTTGAAAGTGAATATTGTTCTAAATTTCCTGATTCAATCTTGCAATATTATTCATTTTGTTAGTAGTTTTTTTTTTAGGCAATTAGGGTTAAGTGACTTGCCCAGGGTCACACAGCTAGTAAATGTCGAGTGTTTGTTCTGAGGTCAGATTTGAACTGAAGTCCTCCTGACTTCAGGACCGGTGCTCTATCCACTGCACCACCGAGCTGCCCCTCATTTTGTTAGTATTAATGCTGTTGGTTATAAAAATGCTTAAGAATTGCATAATCGCAAGTTAATAAGACTTGAAAAAATTTGAACTTTTTGAGAATGTGGTATTATAAAATAATACCAAAAGGTGGAGTTTGCAAAAAATAACTGAGGGTTAAACTCTAACATGGTCTAGTATTAGGGTATAGTCACTTAAAATTCTTTAGCTCCTGCCAAGAATAGGTACACATACTTGAACTAAACCAAAACACTGTTCTGCCAATGTTCTGCCAATGTTACTAATGCATCTAAGTCCTGATAAAATTACCAATGGAGAAACAACTGAACGACAGTTCTGAAAAATAAGTTTTCATACATAGCTGTATTATGTATGAGTTATTTTAATACTTATAAAAGCTACCATTTTGTTACTTGCACAAAAAAGAACGCTGTTGTTGATTTTCTTCTTAGTTTCCTGCAGAATGCCTATATGCATCTTCTCTGGATACTACTATTTTCCTCTTTTCAATAAATTTTCAATTATTTCAAGGATTGTCTCTAAGTAGGTTCATTTCAACCTGACACCGGCATATAGTAAATACTTAAGAAATACTTGTCCATTGTTGATTGTATAACCAAACTAGAGACCCAAACTCTGTCCTAGAGGCTATAATCCAGAATCCCAATGTCACAGGCAGGGTCAAAAAAGAAAAAAGAAGAAAGCTAGAACATGTTGTACCTACCTTTAATGGTGCAGCCTAGCACACCCAGTTCTCCCATCTCTGAAATGATCTCCCGGTGAAACACTATAAGAATAAGACACAGTTCTTAAATGTTTGGACAAACCTGAGACCCAATTTCAGTCCATCCTCTTTCCCTAGTCCTAAGGAGAGATTCCAATCTTGTCTCCAGGGATCCCCCAAGGCCTATGGGACAAAGACAAAGTCTCCAGGCTTTCTGCCCTTTACTTAGCCTATTTCAAATCCCCACAGGGACTTGTGACAATTAAAAATGTTCAAGAGACAGTTTCTGGGTAATTTAATCATTTTATTAGTAAGGCCAGCAGGTTATTAATAAAAGGGTGGTTGCTGTCTCTCCTAGACTAAGGACCCTTAATGGCGGTGGGATCACAGTTTATATGCCTTTTGAAGAGGTGTTCCTGAGGGATGCCTACTCAACTCTGAATGGTTAATAAAATGGGAAGTGGGTTATCTTGGGGTACATGATTTGAGTCACTCAAATCTTGGTCAAAGAGACATCAATTTCCATATCACCACATCAACATTTCCCCATATCAACATTTCCCCTGAACAAACACAATGAATATACCTATTAGCCCAAACTTAGAATTTCTTTTGCTGTTTGATTAGATCTTGGCCTGGATAAATTTCTTTTTTTCTTTCTTTTTTTTGGGGGGGGGGGGGTGTAAATTTCTAAGAGAGATTTCTCACACTAGTTGGTTTCTGGATGAGGAAATAGAAAAGGAGGGACATCTTGGTCCTAATATAATAATTAGCTATTAAATATAAGAAAGAAATATTCATTTCTCATAGCCTCCATTCCTGTTTGCTACTGGAGACAACAGGGAATCCTTTGGGGTTAAAGGGAAGTCACTCTACTTTGAGACTTTACTCTCACCCAAAACCAATACCTTCATTCCGATTATCCAGGAGGACCCGAGGCATCAGCTTTTCCTGGCAGTAGGCTCGGAAAGTATCTCGGGTCAGGATCTCTTCAGGTGTCAGTTGTGCTTCCAGAAGAAGTGGGTCCTGCCAGTTGAAGCTGGAGCGGGAAGCTGAAGGGGCAAGGACAGGAGGACTCAGGGATAAGGGGAGCAAAACGGCTCATTGCTCAACCCACCTCCAGCTAAGTTCTACTCCGAGTGAATAAAGACCCTGCTTTGTCTCTGGATTGCAATACCTCCTGAAGTACTACCCTGGACAAACCAGGTTTTCCTCCCTGAGCCTCAGTTTCTCCATCTGTGAAATGCGGATAATAATCCTCGTAGGACTTCTCTGTCAGAGTTGTTTTTCACTGTGCAAGAGTTTTGTAAACCTTGAATGGTTTACAGCCACTGTTATTCATGCAGATTCTCCCTCCTACTCTCCCACCCCATACATTCAGTGAAGCTTCAGTTAGGATTGGACATCTGACTAGAGCCGAGGCTAGTGGGTGAGAGCTGGGGCAGGGGACTGGACAGGCTAGTGGGTGAGAGATGAGGCAGGGGACTGGCTACCTATCATCTCTAGAATCACAAATAAACTTCCCCAACATTGTGAGCTCCTTGAGGGCAGGGACTGGTTTTGTTTTTTTTTTTGTATCCCCAGTGCCTGGAACATAGTATGCACACAATATTTACTGATTGATTATAAAGCTCTCATACCCTGGCCCCAGCCTACCTTTCTACCCTTTTGTAACAACACAATACTCCCCATCATGCTCGACATCCAGACATAGTGGTTCCCTCAGACACAATGCTCTACCCTTCTTCCCTTCTCCATGCCACTGCCTGTCCCCAAGGCTTAGTCTCATCCCAGCCTCTCGCAATCACTGGTTTTTGTCTAGTGCCACCTTCTGCACGAGACCTTTCCTGATTCCCCCTCCCACAGCTGCTACTGTTTCCTCTCCCAAAGTTACAATGTATTTCTAACCGCTTTGCATATGTGTTACGTGTTGTCTTCTCGAGGAGAATGTAAGCTATTTGTTTTACTATTTTATTTATACCCCCAGCATCTAGCACAGTGCCTGGCACATAGCAGGTGCTAAGTGCTTAGTAGGTGCTTCATGAAGGTAGGGAGCTGAGATTGGGAAAAGCTTCCTAGAGATCATAGATTCAAGAGACCTTATTAGCCACGGAGTCCAATCCTCTGATTTTCCAGAAGAGGACACCGAGCCCGGAGTCATAGAGACAGTAAACGTCTAAGGTGGGATGGAGTTTGAACTAGGCTTTAAAGAACAAGTTGGAATTTAACTGGTTAAGAAGGGGAAGGAAGGAGGTCCAAGCATCTTGAATAGTCTGGATAAAGGAGTGCCAAGGTGTTTGGAAAGAATATGGTCCAGGGTGTTTGGTGGGCAGTAAATCAAATGAGAAAGGTAAGGGTGTTGCTGGATGGTGGGTGGCCTGGAATTCAATTCAAGACTGTGCTCAGGACCAACCATTTCTAAAAAAAGAAGTGACAGGTGCAAATCCATACAGAAGAATGTGAAGAAGAGAGAAAAAGAGAGGAGAAGGAAGGAGGAAGGAGGAGAGGGAGAGAGAGAGAGAAAGAGAAAGAAGAAGAAAGAAAGAGAAGGCAGAGGGTGGGAGAGACAAGGAGGAGGAGGAGGATGGGAGAGGGAGAGAGACAAGAAGGAGGAGGGAGGGAAGGGGAGAGGAATGGGAGAGAGAGAGGGAGAGAGAGGGAAAGAGGAAGAGAGGGAGAGATGGGGAGATGGAGGGAAGGGGAGAGAGAGAGAGAAGAAGAAGAAGAGGAGGAGGAGGAGGAGGAAGAAGAAGAAGAAGGGAGAAAGCCTGAAACATCAGAGCTAAAAGGGATCTCAGAGCAGGGATTCTTAACCATTTTTGTGTCATGGATCTCTTTGGCAATCTGCTAAAGCCTGTAACCCTTGTTCAGAATTTTTTTTTTAAATCAGAGGAGTCTCCTAATTTTTATTTATTTATTATTATTATTATTATTTGGTGAGGGCAATGGGATTAAGTAACTTGCCCAGAGTCACACAGCTAATGAGCATTATGTGTCAGACTCCGGATTTGAACCAAGGTCCTCCTGACTCCAGAGCTGGTGCTCTATCCACTATGCTACCTGGCTGCCCCTCAGAATGTTTTTAAATAGTTGAAGGAAATGCTATATTTTTAGTTAAAGTCTAGTGAAAATAAAAATATATTTTTTTCCCATCCAAGTCAACAGGCCCCCTGAAATCTACCTGCTGGACACCAGGTTAAGAACCTCTGACTTAGAGAGTCCATTCCATAGAATATATGTGGGGGCAGGGATTGATCAGGGAGGTTGCCCCTATCACTTCGATGAGCAAGAATTTTTTGGTCTTTGCTAGGATTTGTATTGTATCTTCCTTTGGACACACTCTTTGGTAAGTCAAGTTTCATAGGATGATAAATTAGTTAGCTTTCATTCCAGTGGACTGTTTTGGGAAGAGCCACCCTTTTATGTTGGCCTATAAAATCCATGAGTACTTCCCTGCTCCCACCCCATCCTTTACATAAGCCAGCTCAAAGGACTAAGCCATTCTCCAAAAGACACCAAGGGGCAAGTCTACAGTTCCGTAGGAAGACATCGTTGCAGTCCCAACAAAGGAAGTCTCTTATCCTCTCAGACTAACATGCATTAAGAACCCACTATTTACCAGAACCTGTGCTGGACACTGGGGAATAATACCAAGATCGAAGTGAGATTGTTTATGCCTTATAGGAGTCTATATACTTATATTTATCTCATTTTTATAGAGGAGGAAACAGGCCAGAGAATACAAGTAATGTCAAGATCACACAGCTAGTAAGCAGCATAATCAGAATTTGAATCTAGATGCCCTGATTCTAAGTCCAGTGTTCCTTGGAATATCCCATTGCCTTCCTTGGCAGCCAAGCCTAGTGTGGGTCCCCTAGGACCTCTCACAGAAAGAAAAAGTGTCCTGGAGGAGAGGGGAAGGGGTCATTTGTAGCAGACAAGGGACAGCTGGATCCCAGAGTCAGCGGGATGGAGTGGGATGGATACCGAACTTGGAGAGAGAATCCATGCCTTGTTAATAACTGACCCTGAGCAAGTACCTTTCCCTCCCTGGGCCTCAGTTTACTCATCTGTAAAACGAGAGGTATGACCTAGGTGATCTCTTAAGCATCCTTCTAGCTCCAACTCTCCGACCTTCCCGCGCCCCTACTCACCCAGGGTCGCGGCCTGGGTGGCTCGGCTTCTCACCAAGTCCAGGATTGGGCTGTGGATTCGGCTCAGGAGCCGCCACGCGGAGACACCCTTCAGCGCCATGGGGAGGAGGCCAGGCTGCCTGGAGGAGGAGGAGGAGCTCAGGGTCCACGTCTCCCGCCCCGAGACTCGGTCCTAGAAAGAGTCCACTGCGCAGAGGGGAAGCCCGAGGGGTGGGAAGGGGCCCTGGAGTCCGGGTCAGGAATGCCGGTTCAGTCGTATCAGGGAAAGACGAGGGGACGGGGCTTCCTGCCAACGTCCTGGACCCCTCCTTTCCCTGCCCCCCCCCAAACCTCCCCGAATCCGAGCGTGGCTCACCTTCCCACTCCAAGACCCTGAGGTCAGTGCAGAACCGAACAAAGACCTCTAGAGAGTTCAAGAGACCCAGAAGGAGGCGGGGCACACTTCAGCCCTTTCATTGGTCCGAATGAAGGCGCCTCTTCCCCGAGAGGGGCGGGGTTGTCTCTTCTTAAACTGGTCATGCCTGTTCTTACCCTGGTGAAGCCTAACCGCGCCCGCGGACTGAGTATGCCTCTTTAACAAGTTTAGCGTGGCGAGGGAGCCAGCGGCCGAGAGCAGAACTCCGCTCTGATTGGTCATCCAGATAGGAAACATTTGACTCTCTCTTTGATTGGTCCGATGTGGGGCGTGCTGTGGGATGCCCAGATCCACCGGGTTCTGCCTCTTGTGGGAAGGACCCTGTCCCTAACTGAGCACATGAAGATTTGGGGTGGGGCCGTGGGGGCAGGTCCTGCCCAGGGTTGGCGCTTGTAGGCTCTGGCGCCCAGGCCTTTCGTCCTCCCGCTCCCTGGAGGCTCCCTCAGTCACTATCAGAAGTTCCCCAGGGCGGGGTCTGGACCTCTGTACCCCAGGGATTGGAGAGAGTCTCCTGGAACTGAGAAGGATGACGTAATTGATTGCTTGTCTGAGTGCAATGTGCAGTGCGGGTCGTTATTAAGATAAATGCAGTTCTATTCAATTCCGCCAACGTCTGCTACTAAGGGCAAGGCACTGTGCTAGGCACCGGGGATACCGAGACAAGAAAAACAAAACAGTCCCTGCCTTCAAGCAGTCTATATTTTACTAGGGTTATAGAACAGATGATGATAACAGTTAGCACATAATAACATCTTAAGGTTTGCAAAGTGCTTTATAGGTGTTATCTAATTTATCCTTACAGCTTCGTGAGGGAGGTGCTCATTCCCATTTTATAAAAGAGGAAACCGAGCTGAAAAAGATCAAGTGACTTGGGGGGGCACAAGGTTAGTAAGCATCTTGGGGTGCATGGGTTCGGGGAGGATTGGCACCTCTGGTGTGAGGGCTGCTGAGCTGTTTTCATGGCTGCTCGTCCACCTTTGGTGTCCACCTCCTACCCAGCTCTCACCAGTTGCCACATCCTGTCTCAGCAAATGGGCTAAACCATGTTCCAAAAGGCCTCAAACTTCCACCAGTGAATTAGGGGGATGTCCACCCCAAGCATGTGAAGACTTACCCCATCAGGATGAACAAATGAGAATAATTTGTTCAATGGCTAGAAAGGAGACTGGAGCAGGTGTTGTAAGCTTAGAGTTTGGTCAGACACTGAAGATGCCAAGGTCATCCACTACGTCCCAGGCCATTGCCAGTCTTCTTGACTTTTGTCCTACCACTGCACTTTGATGTCTGGAAGAGAGAGTGAGGCTGACAACTTTGCCCACTTGTGCCTCACTTAAATCTGATTCACTGGAGAGTGAATTGGTTTTCTTAGAAAACGAAGGCTTGGGCCAGCTAAGTGGTGCAGTGGATAGAGTATTGGCCTTGGAGTCAGGAGGACCTGAGTTCAAATCCACCCTCATACACATAACACTTATTAGCTGTGTGACTCTGGGCAAGTCACATAATCCCAATTGCCTCACCAAAAAAACAAAGGCTCAACAACAAATGTCTGAGACAAGGTTGGAACTCAGTTTTTCCTTACTCCAAGGCCAAGAACTATCCATTCTGCTGCCCGCTAGCTGCCATAGTACAGAGAAAGTTGGGGAGGATCACTTCTCTCAGGAGATTTCTCATTTCTCCCTTTGAGATTTCTCTAACTTTTCTACCAGTCCCCATTCCCCCAAGCTCACTACTGGGAAAATCCCATCATCCTTCAAGATCTTATCAGCCTTGGTACATCACCTCACCCTCTGGCCCTCAGATTTGAGGAGCCATGAACTCCGAAATCTTCATTAAACATCTCATTTCTCACTTTGCTACACTTGTGTGACATGGGACACCCTGGCACCGAAACTCTCATCATGGTGTGCCCACATCAGAGAAGGTGCTGTGCTCTGAGAGAAGAAGAATTGAAACAGCTCGAAGGAAACACAGAATGCAAAAATTTAGAGAAACCACCCCAATGTTCACATGGACTATTTGTGCCTGACCTGTGGTGTAGAGCATTCCGAGCTCATATCGGTCTGATCAGCCACAGTCAGACACACTGAAACTTGACTCTAGCACGGTCATGTCATTTTGGTCTTCTTTGAAGGACAACAACCAACCAACACTACTAAGGGACTTTTCTGATTTTTCCACCATGGCCCCTCCTCCCCGCTTTCCATGTTTCCTTCTCCCTTGCTTTCCAGATTCCTTTTGCATTTTGTCTTTTCCCGCTAGATTATAAGCTCTTTGAGGTCAGGGAGTTTCTTTCACAGTGCCTGGTACACAATAGGTGTTTAATAAATGTTCATTGACCGACTGAAGAGTGGTGGACTACAGATGCAGGAAGTATGTGTTGTCAGATGTGGTCAGTGGATGCCTTGCCCTGTTTTGTTTAACAGTAATTCTTTGCTAGGTGGCGCCATAGTGCATAGAGCCCTGGGCTTAGAATCAGGAAGATTCATCTTCATGAATTGAAATCTGGCCTCAGACACATACTAGCTGGCCAGGTCACTTCACCCTGTTTGCCTCAGTTTCCTTATCTGTAAAATAAGCTGGAGAAGAAAATGGCAAACCACTGCAGTATCTTTGTCAAGAAAACCCCCAATGGAATCATGAAGAATGGGACACAACTGGACAACAAAGCAGGATGGGGTGATATTGAGGAGTGACAGCTATGTTTGTTTGGTTTTTAAGGATCAATAAGCCTTTAAAAAACAAACAAACAAACAAACAACAAACAACAAGGAAAATTGAAGCAAGAGAGAGCACTAACAACCAGAGAGATCAGGGAAAGCTTCACAAAGGAGGTGGCACCTCAGTTGAGCCTTGAAGAAAGGCAAGAATTCTGAAAGGCAGAGATAAGGGGGGAGGACTTTTCAGCCACAGAGCCCATAAACTGCCTGTGCAAATGGAGGGTGGTAGGAGATGGAGTGTGTTATGAAAGGAATGGCTAATTGTCCAGTCTGGCCAGAAACAAGAATGTGTGAAGGAGCAGAGCATGAAATAAAGCTGGAGAGGGAGAGGAGAGCCAGGTTGCCAATACCAGCCTGAGGAGTTTCATTTTAGCTTAAAGACAATAGGCATCCTCTAAATGTTTTTTGAGATAATTCCTTCTGTACTAGGAGAGAATACTCATGTAGATGAGATTACAGAGCTCTACAATCATTTAAAAAGGGCATTTTGTGGGACCTTAACAGTCTCTTTTCTAAGCACTAGAACAGGCTGAGCTCATTCAGATTTGCTTGTTCAGAGGCAATGTAGCATAGCGGATAAAGAGTTGGCCTTGAAGCCAGGAAGACCTGAGTAAGTCCACTTATACTGGCTATATGACTCTGGGCAAGTCACTTAGCCCTGCTTGCCTCAGTTTCCTCATCTGTAAAAGGAGATGGAGGATCAAATGGCAAACCACTCCAGTATCTTTGCCAGGAAGACCCCAAATGGGGTCACAAAGAATTGGACCTGACTGAAAAATGACTGAACAACAACAATAAAATACCAGAAATATGTGCTGGTACTTTTTTTATCAGTACGTTTCCTTCTGAAATTGTATATGCTTTATTAATAATGGCCTCTGAAGAGATCTCTGAGAGCTGGATTGCAATAGAACCCTGGGGAATAAGGGAGGAACAATGGATGTAGGGGCAACTCAATGTACGATTTTATTCTTATAAGGGATTCCCAGTGAGGAATATGGCTCTATAATCTCATCCATATGAGCATTCTCTCCATTAGTACAGAACGAATTACCTCAAAAAACATTTAGAGGATGTTAGAAAAATCTGAAACAAAAATCTACCACAGTGAATGAGTGGGAAAGTCTTTATTACACTTCTCTCACAAGAAGCAGGCACAACGCACGTTGGTAGCATGTGGGCACTGGTTCAGTGGTAGAATCAACTTTTAAACCATTAGTAAGATCCATACTCCACCCATCAGGGCTCCTATTGGTCTAGTTCATCTGAGTTACACCCTTCCTGGACAACCCATTGCATGTTCCTCTATGCTCTGTTAACTCCTCCCACTTCATGGGTCCCATGCTCAAAAATAGTGACTATCTCTGCCCTTGGGGTGTGTCAGTTCATATTCAAAAAGCTTATTAAGCAAGCATGGTGGAGAAAAGCCTTTGCTGGTCAAAGCCCTTGAACCTGGCTGGTTGCAACCAGTTTAGCCTCTAGGGCTCTTTCTTAAGAACTAGTTGTTTATAAAAAAGTTTGGAGTACTTTCTGATTGGTTGAGGGACTATCCACAAGATCTTGGAATTTCTTATCCTGCTGTGGGGAAGCCTAACCCCCTAAAATCTTTCTTACAGAGGATACCTATTGTTTTTAAGCTAAAATGAAACTCCTCGGGCTGGTATTGACAGGCTGGCTCTCCTCTCCCTCTCCAGCTTTATTTCATGCTCTGCTCCTTCACACATTCTTATTTCTGGCCAGACTGGACAATTAGCCATTCCTTTCATCACACACTCCATCTGATGGGTTGGGATCTGGGCCCCAGAAAGGAAAAACCCTGGACTTTCCCACATGGCCAAATCTCTGGCTTTGTCCTGAGGCAATCCCATCAAGTGGTCTTTCATTGTGGCCACATCCAATCTCCCAATTCTCTGTTACCCTTAATCTAGCCTAACTCTTCATTGTTTTACCTCCCTATAGCCCCTGGCCATTTCCCACCCTTAATCCTAGCTAGGCTCCATTCTCCCTTGGCCCCTTGGTCCAGGTCCCAGGAGTTCTATTCACCCCATCTTACTGGCCACTCCCATCCAGATCCTCCTTAGACCCCCTCCTCCAGTCACCCAAAACTACTTGGCCACTCCTAGATCCCTCCCACAGTCTTTCTGTATATAAGGCCCATCTTGTCTCCATTAAGGTGCTTAGATTCTTAAAATCTAGCCA